TATTCAATGTTTTGTATTTATTTTTTTTTTGTTTTAAAATCTTATTTTATTTTGTCCATGCGTGCATGTTTTTTTTTCTTTTTTTTTTTGTTTTGAAATAATTATTTATTTTGTCTTTTTATTTTTATTTTTATATTTATTTATTTTGCCAACAACTAAAAAAAATATTTTTGTAATTGTCCTATTTTTTTTGGTCTAATCTTAATTTAAGTTATTTTGGTCTTGTAGTATTTTTTTATTTTCATGGATTTAAAACTTATTGTTATAATATAAAAAATATTAAAATTTATTTTTATTGTGAATAGAATATAAAAAATTATATTGAATGAGTTGATAATGGGTCCCATATATGTATTTAAATGAATGTGTATGAATGTGGATGTGTGTTTAAATGGGGAGAGATTTAGTGGAAAGATGATGTGTATGAGAGATAGTGTAACTTTTTGATTGAATGAATGAGAATAATGTTAAACCAATGTGGATGCTCTAATGAATTATGTCAGATACATTGAAAGTTGAAATGCAATTTTTGAAATAATAATATTTAAAAGTGATGGTGAAAATAATTAAATGAAAATTTTGGTTGACAAATTTTCACTATCTATGTTAGTCTTGTTTATTCATTTTTTTTTCCTTTTTTTTAGGAAAGATTGAGAATATGCACAATAAAACTAAATTAAAAACTTTTACAAGAATAATTGCATGTGAGAGTACAATTTTGTCTTCTTATCGTTTCGAATAAAATCATTCTTTGTTAATTAGTGAATTGCTAAACACCACATTGATTTTACTAATACCGCCCCCAAAAAGACTTTTTTGCCCTTAGTAATTAAAAAAAAATCCTAAAAAAAGCCAAAAAAAAAAAAAAATCCATACCCCTCCCCAGCCGCCCTTTCCCTCCCCCATTAAAAAAAAAACAAAAGAAAAAAAAAAGCCAAAAACAATCCCAAAAAAGCCAAAAACCATCGGTATTCCACAACTAAAAATTTCTCCTCCAAAACACCTTCTCCCTTCTCTCTCCCTCTTCACAGTACGTAAAAAGAAAATTCAAACAACATCTTAATTCGAAGCAAAATCGAAAAAATGGTCGGAGGACAAAAGTGACACCGCAAGAAGGCCGCGATTCCACAGGTATTTTTTTTCATATTTTTCCGTTATTTTTTTTGGGATCTGCCGGACTCGAAAGGCGGTTTGTTGTTGAACAAGCCAGGCCGCGATCGCGGCAGCATTCGAAGGTGCCAGGCCGCGATTGCGGACGGTGTAGGCACATACAGTCGCCGATTGCGGCTCGACTTTTTTTTTTTAAATAAATTAGTTTTGGAATATATTATTACTTAATAAAAAAATTATTTACAAAATTTCATATATTAAATATATTAATA